TGGTTCTTCAATTGACCATGAGGTGAGGTGTCTAGTGGTGGCGGTAGTTACTTACCATTAGGTGACCCGTCTGCTCGTTTGCGCTGTTATGCCCTAAAAAAAAGCCGTTTCAATTTTCTGTTGAGTGACGCAACACTCCTGATCCTTCGTTTACTAAGGTACGCTGCCAACCACGAGTGCACACTGCATGTCGCTATGTTTGCAGTCCGTCTTGGATACAAGTGCAAACTTTTTATGACCATGGTTTCAATTCTAGCAATTCGATTTATGGTTTCTAGCTTGTAAAATACGAAATAAAATATTTTATGCATATTAATTAAAATGCTAATTTTTCACTTGTGTGATCCATAGTTGAAAGCATTCATAGTGACTTATCGATACACGTATTTTATTTTAATAAGCTAATAAGTAGACCCTTCCTACGTGCCGTATTGAAATTATTTTGTAGCAGTAATACGACGCCTCATTCAAGGAGCGCACAACGTATTAATAATAATGCTACTCCGGTGTTATGTAACTCAATAAAAGGAGGTACAGGGCCCATTTAATCTTCATGAAATCATTTAGATGACAAGATGATTTATTTGATTCAATATTATTAATTTAATCAAATAAGATTTTAAGTGTTCTATTTAATATTCAGTTTTGTATCTCTTGCTATTTTACTGAAAGCAGCATTTTACTGAAAATGCTATAATATTAATTAAAAAGTATTTAATCTGTTAGATACACCAATGTATTAAGGATCTGTGGAATGGCTTACATATAATTATGTTTAAGTTAAATAATTATATTAATTTTCGTTATTACAAAATGGCCACGCTCACAACACTGCATTTGTAGCTTCACGTGTTGGTATATACTACTTATTGTTAGTTAATTGCTGATAAAATATCGTTTCATTTGCGAGATTTCAGTTAGGTATATGATGGTGCTAAATGGAGGATTTACTTTGTATGAAGCAAGCAAATCGATCGATCACTGCGGCGAATGCACCGGCTTACATATTTAGAAAATATACGATATGAGCAATATACTCAATACATACCTGCAAAATTAGATCTTTATTACGATACAATTTCAGTAATAAGATTGTTCGTTACTTTAATTTGGTGGCTTGTTACAAATTTATTTTTGGGAAAAGTTCTTTCATGTAACCACGAAAACATTTCCAATTGAACGGATGAAACTTTGAAACAATTTTGCCAATATTGTTATAAAAACATCTTTTATTTTATACGACTACTTTGGAAAGTGACTTTTGGGAGCTTTCTGTTAAAAGAGAAGAACGATTTAAGATTTCGTTTCGTTTACGATAAGAGCTATTTAAACTTTGTAGTTTGTATACTGCTTCGCACTATGTGGCTTTATTTATTATTATTTTTTGAAAAAGAGAACTCCTCCAGTAGAATCTTGTGTCGCGGTTGTACGCGGGTATGCGTATTATTAACTACTCTACTTTTAATTTATACAAACTAAAAATGACGTTTACTACCAAGAGCCGACAGTTGACGGTATTGTATATATATTCTGTATATGTGCTATTTCTGTGTATATGTGCTAGGAATCGCCAGCGGTCGAGTTTCGACGTTTTGAATATTATCTTGTTTTATTCAAAGAACCAGAGTACTTAATTTGTCACTGTATAGATTCTTGAACCATGACGGGTCAAAATATATACTGAACCCTAATAGCTCTATGTAACCGATTTAAATAACTTTTAACTAAAACTACCTGCAGATATCTAAAACTTAACAAGAAGTATTCTAAATATAATATGCTTTCATGGACCTTAGTTGTTTTAAATATGGTGTGGTGTTTTATAGTCCCTAATCTAAAACTCATATTTTAGCTCTAGAAATACATATTTAGAGTTTTCATGACTTTGTGTAATACGTCTTTAAATATTTATGTGAAAAAAGCAATTAGATACAAATATATCTCCCTGTGTGATGTGGACCCTGAATGTAGTTCTCTCAAACTTCACACATTTACACACCATTGAGTAAATATGTATATTTAAATGACTTATTTATTATTCAACAGTAAACGTACAACTACTGACGGTGATTGATCTAAGTGTGGGCGAGTTTGGTTCTGTTATTGCGAACACAAATCTGTAATTTCAAAAGACATTTTTATTATTAAAATCGAAATGATTTAATAAAAACAAATACTATACTGTAAGTTCAAAGAATTTAATAATGTGTTCTTAAGGTAAACACAAAAGATACATTAAACAAACTGGACTCAGAACAGCCTAAAGCGACAAATATTTAAAGATTACAAATTGAATATTCTACGTATACTACTTATTGTTCACGTTGTGTATAGCTAACAAGCCAGATTATCTTGGAAAATACTCTTATTTCAAATATTCGTTTCTAAAGAAATTCATTGAGCCATGTCATATAAAGAAAAATTAACACAAATAATGACAAAAAACACATATACTCGTATTAAGAAAGAAAACAATTCACTGCTCACTCAGACTCAGAATAGTTAAGAGATCGACCGTGTGGTGACGGATTAAGAATACGGACTGTCACTAGCCCTATCCCGTGAGTGTCGTAAGAGCCGAGTAAGGGAGCAAACTTAGCATGACAACAAAAGTACTGCAAGGAGAAGGAAAACTTAAAACAAATCCAACACCAACCCATCTGGCTAGCGTGGTAAAGTAGGCCAAAACCTAATTTGTAAGGAGAGGCCTATATCCAGCAGTAGACTATTAATGGCTGTTATGTATTTTAAACTGATGTCATAGTCACAAAAGAAGATTGGTAAAAAAAGGCAGTGTTAAGGCTAAGGTGCTCTTAAAATTACATAAGTAGTTATGTAATGACCTACCTATATAACGTCATAAATATGATGATCGTTTTTATGACCTCAAACTCTATATTTTAAAAATATTATGTAGTTAAAATAAAAAACCGGTCAGGTACGAGTCGAACTCGTGCGCCGAGGGCTCCGTACCTACCCAGATTTTACGTAGATTTTCGCGAAAATATGTAAGTACCAAAATTTGTCTTAATTTTCAACTTATTTTATTTTTTGGACTTATTTCTGCTGTAAGACGACTTTTTGCCAAAATTCGTGATTCTAGGTCAACGGGAACTACCATATAGGTTTTCGACCCAAAATCTATAGGGTACTTCCGGTTCACCTAGAATTGTCAATTTTGGTTAAAAGCAAGGTCTTACAGCATAAGTAAAGAGAAAATTCTGAAAAATAAAAAAAGTTAAACATTAAGGTAAATTTTGGTACTTACAAGTTTTCGGGAAAATCAAAATTTGCCCATATCTTTTTATCGTGTTGACTCCGAACCTTGATTTTTATACACCTAATACCCTAATACCACAGACCTCAGCATCTGGTATCAATTTAAACTTGCTAGGTCTACCCGTTCCTGAGAAAATCGGTGGTGACACACGGACAGACGGACAAGAAAGTGATCTTATGAGGGTTCCTTTTTTACCTTTTGAGGTACGAAATCCTAAAAAGTGCATGCGAACATTAACTTTGTTCAGTAAAAACCACTAAAAACCACCCCGACGGCCGGCCTCAGGTGTCCTACTCTGGGGAGGACCCGGACCATGTTATTTCAGGTCCTCCCCGAATTGACACTATGCCTAATCAGGCCCTAATCCAGAGGAGAACACTTCCCTCCTCAATCGGGGCATGACAGCCCGGATCGCATCTTAATGCAATCAGGCCGCCATCCTATCCCCTACCGCAGCATTCAATCTGCCACCAGAGGTCCCCACTCTCTGGCGGCCCGCGGCCCCGTCGGCGGCTGGTATGGTCGCCGACGTCCTCTACGCTCCTACGCTCCAATTCAGCAGTCTCTTTCTGGAGAATTACAGCTTCACAGAAAGAGACCACTGCGCCCCATCCCTCCTCACCCGCCAGCATGGCAGCAATGATTGCTGGCGGGGACAGGTCTCTTCCGATTTGGTCGATCAGGACTTCGCGTTCAGACGCCCACGCGGAGCAGTTTTCCAGCTTGTGCTGGGCGGAGTCCCAGTCGGCTGCGCAGTGCTGGCATTGTGCCGTCTCCTAGCGTCCGATACGATTCAGGTACTCATCGAAGCAACCATGCCCAGTGAGTACCTGCGTCAGTCGATAGGTGACGCGACCTCCCTCCCTACGTATAATCTGAATGGCCGCTATACGTTGCGCTTGATTGAGCTTAACTCGGTAGCGGGAGGAGGCCGATAGGCGCTTGGCCCATATCAGCGCTCCGTAGAGGGCCATGGATCGTATCACCGCACAATAGAGGCGGCGAACTTCCTCCCGCGGACCCCCTAGGTTAGGCAACAGCCTCTGTAGGGAGCCCGCCACCCCAACTGGGGGATCATCTGCTCGAAATGATCCTCGAAGCTCCAGCGGCTGCCTAGGGTGAGGCCAAGGTATTTAATGTGTTGGCCAACCTCAACCTCTGTTCCCCCCACGCTAATAGGTGAGCGGGTGGGAACTGCACCTCTGCGTTTTGTGTGGAACCACAAGGCTTCCGTCTTATGAGGTGCAACCCTTAGTCCCACACCACTGATGTTTTGGACGACACAAGCCACCCCTATTGCCCTGCCCATGCCCCTAGTCCATCGGATACCTACCCAACGGGCAAAAGACTTGGCATTTAGGACTTGTAAAAGGCTTTGAAGGTAAATTATTTTTTTGATAACTGTGATGTTACAGAAAAGTTTGTGATAGTAAACTAATTGAAAACTAAAGACTGCACGGATGGCGAAGTGGTTTAAGCAGTCGCCACGCCGCTTCCTACTACGCCGAGTGTTGTGGGTTCAAGCCCCACATGGGACGACACTTTGTGTGACCCACAAATTGTTGTTCTGAGTCTGGGTGTTCTTTGTGTCTGTTTCATGTATGTTTGTAAAGTCCCCCGCGACACAAGATATATTCTTAATGCGGGCGTTGTGTTTTTTAATTAAAAAAAAAACGAAAATACCTCTTCATCAATCAAAAGTGATTAAGGGCTTACTCACGTGAGGAGTTTCCAGTCGTGGTGGAGCTATGGCTGGTAGTAGACATGGTGCCTGTGGGTAGCCATTGCGGAGACTTACAGGCATTGCAAGCTGCCACACGCCCACCAGCACCACGTTCAGTTACATCAGGAGCTGGTGTCGATCGCTTCTGACCCTAGCGAAGTTTTTTTCTTACTTGTATCAGTTATTCTCACATCTACAACTCAAATAATTCAATTCAATAAATATAAAACGAACTACTTTCGTTCCTGGATAAAGATAAAAGTCATTTACCTCGGCAGATTCTTATTGAAAATTGAAAAAAATTCTCTTTAGTAAATATTTAATCAAGTTTGTATTTTTTATTGAATTGGGTAAAATCTCAACTAAAAAAACTTTTAAATATTTCAATTCTCGCTCACTATAGAGAATTTTAAACCTTATCTACTTACGTGTGTATCATAAAATATTGATGGTAATCTAGTATCGGTAACCGGGTCGCAGGTGCAATGTGCGTGTGTGGTGCGCGATCCCGCCATACCAATCGCGTCGGCATCTAGAAACGTTTGTGCATCGTCATCCATTAAATCACTGCGAGTACTTCTCGACTCCATTGTGTTGTCGTCCCTCGTCCATGTCTCTGACGATCTATCCCTAACTCGTTCACTTGGAAAATCGTTATATGACATTTGCCTTCTAATACTTTTACACCGACTGCGATTGTCTAGAGTGGAATACTTTGTTCTTTCTAAAGCTGGTGAGTTTCTCGTGACTAAGATGTCATTATCAAAACTTCTCATTTTAACATTTTTTTGTGAATTTCTCCTGTGTATATCTGCACTTACATTATAATCTCTCAGTTTGTCGAAACATTGGTCCACATTTCCAGAAAAATTTGCGTATGTTGAAGTATTGCTTTTTAAATCATCTTTGGATTGATAACCCGGGGAAGCAAAGATACAGCTTTGACTATTAACCCGCCTTTGCGACTTGTCTGCTAGTGATAACATCGACGCTCTCTTGAGAGAGCCCATCGACCCTGATGTTATCTCCGCCAATTGGACAGTATTTTGCTGTTTTTTTGAAATTGCTTCCCCACCCATCTTTTTCAAATTAGATAACTTTCTTTTTATTTTTTGCACAAGTGAATTTCTTGGGTCATACGATATTAACTGTTTTGAAATATAATTTGAAACTCCAATTGTTTTACTTTTATTAAATTTTCTGTCCAGACTGCGATGTGATCCTAAATGTAGCTGATTTCGGCTTGAACCCCGTTTGATTCTTTCTAGATCGTAGATACTAAGAGTGTGGCCCCTCTGATCAACATTTCGATGACAATTTACAAAATTGTTTTGTTGAATATTACAATTACAAACTAAATCAAAGTCGTGTTTCGATATGTGTTCATCTAGACATTGTCGTTGAGCGGCTAGTGCAAGACAAGCTTCACAATCGACACCAAGTAACAGTTCAAGACTAGTATTCCTTATAAAGCCATCGCTGAGAGTACGTGAACGAAAATGTGCAGCGTTCTGAGTGAGTCGCGTTTCCCAGTCAGTGGGTAGACTGGCGGCAGCCGCGGAGGTCACGCCTCCCGGCCCACTGGCCTCGCTTTCCACCATAGTGGAAGCATCGCGATTCACTTGGATAACTCTCGGTTGACGGAACACACGACTATCGCTTCGAACTGAACTTCGTGAAGGCGACGGCGATGGACGCTTATAAGTTTCGACTTGAATCATCTTTCACGATTTCAATTTTAGCTCTCGGTGTACTGCACTGCAACAAAACATAAACACTTTATAACCAAATACTACTTTCTTAAAAAATGTTAAAGACACGCTAAAAATGACAAATATTTGAAGACTCATAATGGAGTATTTCAATTCATTCGTATAGGTTAAAAATTAAAAATGTGTGGTACGAGTACTACCCACATATTATTTATAGTATTACCTACTCTAAGTATGTTTCAGAAACGTAGAGGCTGAGGTTATGTTTTGTTAATTCACTAAACTTCCACAAAACAGCTATGGCTCCTTCACGTGTTTCTACCACAGCATGCTCTTCTTCTTAGTTCCGACAGGAAAGCTGACGTGGAAGGTTTATTTTTAGATTTCAGGGTCCTTAAAACTTCCACAACTATCTAAGTGTGTTATTCTCGGTAATCATAATTTTAACATTGTTAGTTTTGCAAATTGTAATGTGATATTATTATTTGCATCGAGGAGTGAGACAAGGGGACGTTATTTCCCCGAAATTGTTCACAAATGCAATGGAGGACATGTTCAAGACGCTGCACTGGAAAGGGCGTGGCATCAATATCAATGGCGAATACATCTCTCACTTGCGATTTGCAGATGACATCGTCATCATGGCAGAGACGTTGCAGGACCTACAGCAAATTAATGCTGAATGACTTAGCTGACACTTCTGTACGCATCAGCCTACGGATGAACTTGGATAAAACCAAGGTCATATTCAACGAACATGTACTACCGGAACCGATTGCGGTACACGGTGCCGTTCTCGAAGTTGTTCAAAATTATGTGTACCTCGGGCAGACATTGCAGTTAGGTAGAAACAACTTCGAGGACGAGGTGAACAGAAAAATTCGGTTGGGTTGGGCAGCGTTTGGGAAGCTACGTCGAGTCTTCTCATCGTCGATCCCACAGTGCCTTAAGACGAAAGTTTTTAATGAGTGCGTCCTACCCGTCATGACATACGGCGCTGAAACGTGGACACTTACGGTACAGCTGGTCCACAAGTTCAAAGTCGCTCAACGTGCTATGGAAAGGGCTATGCTCGGCGTTTCTCTAAGGGATCGCATCAGAAATGAGGTGATCCGGCAGAGAACCAAGGTCACCGACATAGCGTACCGGATCAGCAAGCTGAAGTGGCAGTGGGCTGGCCATATTAGCCGCAGAACCGATAACCGTTGGGGAAAACGAGTTCTTGAGTGGAGACCGCGTCTCGGCAAACGTAGTGTAGGACGCCCACAGGCCAGGTGGAGTGACGATTTGCGCAAGATGGCTGGCAGGAGCTGGATGCGAGAAGCCCAAAATCGATCTAAGTGGCGTGCAATGGGAGAGGCCTATGTCCAGCAGTGGACTGCGATAGGCTGATGATGATTATTTTCACGTGGAGCGCGTATCATTTATCATTAGTATATTTTTTTATAGTTTCGTTCATAGATTGTGCAGGTGCACATAAACACTATTAAAACAGTTAGAACATTAGCACAATTAGTTTGTATCTGTAGTTTGTACGGACACAATAACAACTTTCCTCAAATTCGAAACGTCAGATTACCTTGAAAATTTGAACACAATTCAAGAATAAAAATTTAACAAATTAGCAAATCTGAATAAAGTATAGAAAATAAAATTTATAAAAATATAGTAGAAACACATCACTTTTGTACCGCTTATTTTTCTACTTTTATTTTTTAAACCAGATTTCATTAGGAACTATTCTACTTTCAAAATTACACGAGTTAAATCTTTACAATATTTGAATATATAAACTATTCTACAGCAGATTTTGCGTATAAAACATCCAATTTCTATTGAATCCCTTTGCTCGGTTAGGAGTTCTGATAAAGACTGCGTATACAACGTGATGTGAATTTTTATCGTTTTGGAGTAATATAAAAAACAAATCTTATCATTCCATCTGTTAGATTAATATTTTAATATGATATTTGCGTTTGCATATTTCGTAAGTACATACAATATATACCAAATAATTTCCATCGATGACACTCTATTCTTAATAAGGTAAGAGCCGACTAAGGGAGAAAACTACGCAGAACAACAGTACTGCAGAGAGAAGGAAAACTTGACACAAACCCTATACCAACCCGTCTGGCCAGCGTGGTATAGTAGGCCAAAACCTTCTTTCTACGGAGAGGCCTATGTCCAGCAGTGGACTGTTATAGGCTGTTGATGATGTGAACTAATATTAAAAATTAAATTCTAAAGTAGAATTTATCTCTTGAATATCCAATACACTTGACTATATTTAGCTAGGGGAATAGTTAATCCTCAATCCAATTTAGATGATTGGCTTGACATTACACGTATAAAATACTGAAATTTCTGTTAATACATAATAATACATTAACAAAATTCTTTTCCTGTTGTATAATAATAATTATACAACAGAAAAAGCAAATAACTAACTATGTTACATTATCTAGGTTCTGAACTTTGTCAGTATATTTAGTCTGAAGTGGTTATAAGTTAAACTGTTCTTGAATGTGTTCCAAACTTTTAAACTTTACACAAAAACACATTTATAATGAATATTTTATTTACAATTCGAACTTGCCTATCCCATATCATGTTGAACGCAAGTGAAATTACAGTGTCTTTGTGGTTGTATTCTGATTATAGTAATATAAAAATTACAGTATCTTGTGGTTTCTAGATTGTCTATTAATATCTGCAGGCAAAATTAGAATGAATGATTTGAGCCTTGTGCATGTAAAAAAATTAAATCGATCTCATTACTATAATGGTTTGAAAGGTTTTTCAAATTATTTTATCGATCCAGGGACCATGGGGAAGTTTTTCGTGCTTATCATATTATTAAAGTTGTATTGTTGTAGGATGGTATCCATGTAGTACTTACACGAAAATGCTTTAATTATCTAAATATTGGGTATTTTCCAACTATGCTTAAAATATTATTACTTGCTATAGTAAATGCACATTGAGGTACTTTTAAATTAACCAAGTAAGACAGAGACTAATAATAAAACAAAGTACATTGATTTTTCCACACAATGTATCATGTATCAGTCTAGACTTTTTATTTTTTCATTTAATTTTATTCTTTTGTACATATCGCAAAGGAAAGGGGATAGTTTTTTTCTTGATAATTTCTAACTGTGACTAATAAACCAAATACAACTGAGTTAGGTACCTAGATTTTTTAAAATATTGTATAAGTAATATATTGAATCAGTTTCAAGATTAAAATAAAGAAAAAATAAAAAAAAAGCTTTAAATTGAATAATTTAAAGCCATATTCTGTTAAATATAAATAAGTGTTAAATTTTAATAATTCAATTTAGCTATTATATATATATATATTATATATATATATAATAGCCCAGAAGTGGAGAAATTTATTTTTGTTAGTCCATCAGGCAGTTAGCAACAAAAGTTCCAACGTTCATTTCTAGTTTCCTATTCAGTTGTATTTTTAAATTTCTCATTTGATGTAGTAAGAAGATCATAGTGGCGTATAAAAAGTTTTGATTAAAATAGGTTGATTTAAACCGGAGTTAGAGGGTCTTAAAATGGATCAAAATAGTTCGTGTTGAAATAAAACTGGACTAGTTTATATTCGAGAACACCCTTGATGAAAATGTTAAAATAATACTTATACAAAAGTATGTATATCATATCATTTTTACTAATGCACTTAAGTGGAGTCGAAAGTGCATTAGTAATATCATTTGTACACGATAATGTTTGCATGTCAATGAATATTCGGTGGTGTGCAATTATCTGATTCCGTTCTATTTAAAATCATATACAGGCTTACAGTTAGTTTTGTGGTTAAATTTTAACGACTCAACCGATCATCATGAAATTTTATTTAAACTTTATTCTCAAGACATAGAAAAAGAAATATGGTAACTTTCACACAAAAAATAAAGTACAGTTACTGAGGGATACGTAAGTTGATGAACGAAACTACATTTACGCAGGTGATTCCTTAAGAGTAAGATATCTAGAAAATAGTAGTAAAAAACTAACAGCCATAAATTTATAAAGTCTGCGAGTATACAGATTTACACAGAAGGTGCTCAGGAAGAATATCCTTCCAGCCATCTCCAAGTTTAGATCCATTAATTTACCGCCATTGTATTGGTCGCCTTTGTGTTTATCGTAGTAAAGCTGTTTATTGTTATGGAACCATTAGAATCTTACGACCTTTCAAACACCCGGTGGATAAAAGCAAAATAGGTTCTCAAAGCCCACTTAAAGTATAAAAACTGTCTAAATTTCCATTAAAATGATTATTACCAGTATTTTGGATAAAATATTTTTCTAAATACATGTTTAACTTTTTTAAATTTATGAATTGAAAACCGGTCAAGTGAAAATTGGAGGGTTTCTTAATAAGAATTTATGTGGCTATAAATTTAAGTGAAACGTTTTTCTCACCTACGGAAAAAGAAACTGCTTCACAACCTGGCAACCTAATAACCCTGCCTATTATTTAACTTTTCTCATTTAAAAGAAAATTGAAGTAAATGTGCTCTAAGAACGTTCTATCGGTAGTTATTTAAGAACTTGGTTAAATATTAACAGAACTATGTATATTATATACAAATAAATATCCACCCTACAAAAAATATTTAGGAATATATGGCATTAGGAATATATCCTGTGTCGTGGGGAACTCTAAAAACATACATGAAACGAACACAGGACACCCAGACTCAGAACAACAATTGGTGTCCGCTTAAACCACTACGCCATCCGTGTAGTGGTAATATAGTATAATAATATAATGGAACAAATTTACGATCCCGTGACAGATTTACATATTTGTTAGTCGTTGATTACTAATATCCGTTACACCACTCCTATGCGTTCCGTAGGTGTCGCAAGAGCCGACTATGGGAGCAAACTACGCATGGCAACAGTACTGCAAAGAGAAGGAAAACTTGAAACAAACTCTATACCAAACCGTCTGGCCAGCGTGGAATTGTAGGTCAAAA